TGCAAACACAAATGGGGGGAGACAGATGCTGGAATGACAACAACAACAACATTGTGTATTTACGATACAGAGGACAATGATATCATATCTGAAATGGTGAATAATTGCATAATACCATGAATCATGGGCTAGCCGAGATGATGCATAATTTGAAGATACACAATTAAGTGTGTAGCAGGATTTAGAAGTGATTCCAGGCGTCTGCCCTAGGTCACGCAGGAGATGGAGGATGGAAGACTGGAAAAGATTAGGCCAAGGTGGGAGTCTACATTAGAGGCTCTAGTTGCCTCTGGTGCCTGTTAGCATCTTTGTAGAGCTGTCCTGTCTTCAGAGTCTAAGCAAAATACACGGTGGGAACAGTGCGTGCATCCTCATGTCTCTGTGATTCGTTTCCTAGTGAATTAAGTGCACAAATCGGAACAGTTGATCGCTGCATGGTTTTCCTTTCTAAAAGAAGAAGAAAAAAGATTTCTATGTGGAAAAAAAAAATCACTCCTGGTAGTCAAATAATAATTTAGAGATGGAGCCCTCTTGCCTCGAACAGACTTGAATTTACTCCTTCCTTGAACAAGTTTGACACAAATTGGCACTCTTCATTTTTTATCATAAGGCAGCCCATCCACGCTGCAATTCCTCTCTTGACTCTGCTGTTCACAGCTCCATCTCTTGGAAATTAAGGGGTGTCCTAAATGACAGAGTGCTTCAAACGCTGCCAAGTTGGCAGTGGGGAGAGAGCGCGTCCTCTCTGCCGGATGCTTTGTGAAGGATCCTTATTCTGTATCAGCCAGACCTGGGAGATACAGAGTGGGCCTTTTCATCTTTGCCCCCTTTCCCCATGTGTATCCTCTCTGAAAATCTGGGGCTATAAATGTAATGTTTGTGACCACATACTCTCTTGTAGTTCCAGTATTAATTTATTTAATTTAATTTTTTTTATGGTCAACATGAAATTTAACCAAGGTAAAACAAAAGATAAATTATTTCATAAGGTTGAACAAGTGAGTAAAACTTGGAGATATGAATTGCCAACAGTGTGGAAAAGATTAATTTGGAAAATTTGATGTTGAAAAATCAGGAAAGACCCCTTCTCTTTGCCAAATGCTAAAACAAATTAACCGTGGTTTTGTGTTTTTTT